CAGGTTATCGAAATATAATTTAAAATGGCCACATTACATTGAATTTGATGCAATATATTAGCAAAAGTACAGGAAAAATAAATAATACTTTTTTTTAAATAATGCAATGAAATTATTTAGGGGGGCTAAAGACATTTTTAGGGAGGCTGAAGCCTCCCTAAAATAGGCCTAATGACGCCCATGCTACCACTGATCACTTTACTCTGCTCGATACTTTGGACATGTCTCACAGCTGTCATTGGGTGGTACCACTGCATGACGGTACACCTTACACAACAGAATGTCTTTTGACACTTATTTGTCATGTCCTCGTTTTTCATGGTTGCTTGTTATTGCTGATAGTAGTGTCACCTGTACTCTCGGAGACAAATTCTGTTTGTGTGTTCTACATACTTGGCCAATAAAGCTGATTCTGATTCTGATTGATGTTACCTATTGAATACATTAAAATATTTAAAAATATATACATTTATTAACCTTGAAACAGCTTATTTTTCATGCGGCAATTTCGAAGTTGGTGCACTGTCCCTTTAAAAAGCTGGTGCATTGTCTCTTTAAGACGTTCATCCCGCTGCAGGTGACGTTGAGTCCGTGAGCAGGCGATGAGCCGCGGCCCAAGTCGTGGTGAACTTCGCTCGTCTTCACTTGCGGTAGTTTACGCGCGCCATATTTACGAGTGCAGACTTTAGAGCTTGTGCACATCTGCGTTACGCAAGTGTGTGTGTGCGTGTGTATGCGCGCGGTCGTGTGAGAAGGCATACTAAAGGGCGGTCCTGCTTTTACTCCAAGCCATGACTGACAGTCGGAGGGTGTGACACATCGAATAAATACACTAAGAGAAGCTTGACTCCGGCAGACTGACAGTCAGTCATGGCAACTTCGAACGAAGTCAGCGAGAAAGCACGCAGTGGGACCAAGCGCTTCATCGGCGGCGTGGTCGAAGGTGAGCAACCCGGGGTTCGTCCCCCCCACGGAGAATAATGGAGAGTCAGCCACCGACTTCTCCCCCACGATGCATGTAAACAAACACACGCTTAACTATGGACTTTTCTCAAATGCAGTATGACTGACAGGATTGTTTTCGTGAAGTCGTATTTTAATCCGACCTGGTTTGTTGCAGGATTTTATGGTCGACCCTGGACGATGGAGCAAAGAACAGAGCTCTTCAAAAGGTAGAATGCAATCCAAATTCCAAACACCTCCAACCTGCTTCAGTTTGAATCATTAGTAATGATCAATATTTTCAATACTATGCTTATGTTGTTTTTATTTTATAGAGTATTTCATTTATCACACATGAACAACAGTACTGGAAAAGCGGCGCAGCCATGTGAGACACTACAAAATGATCAGAATTGACTGTTGTGCATAAATAATGAATTTTCATGAGGCAAATATTACAATTAATGTAGTGGTTGGGCCAGCACAGAAAGCCTTGTGACCTCCCACAACCACTAATGTAATTACTACTTGATAACATTCTGCTCATTTGTGTTGAAAAAAAGGAATACAACTTATTTTTGGTCAGGCATTGTGTGTACGCAGCTAATGGCTCCATTTTGTGTATTTACCTGCAACTTCATTTGCAAAGCAAGACATCCTCTTTTTAATATGTTCTAATGGTGTAAAAAGCAGTTTAATGTGATGTGAAGTAATTTGCATCTCCTACTTTCTCAGGGAACAGAAGTGGGGTTTGAACACGTACCTGTACGCTCCTAAGGATGACTACAAACACCGCATGTACTGGCGAGACCTTTACTCCCCCAGGGAGGCAGGTGAGTCCGTGTCACCACAGCTTAACGCTTTATTGGTTTGTTGCTGCTGCGCACTGACCTCACCTATCAACATTGAACATGTATCGCAGAAAAATAACAGCAATGAGAAAGAAATAGCATTGGCTCTGCAGCGAAAAGTATCATGGTCTATGGAATTCACCATGCCATGTTCGGCTGAAGCGGGAGAAAAGTAATGTTTTTGATGGAGATGTTGAAAAATATTTGCTTCTATGACTGATTTTATAGCAGTGACAACAGGTCAAAGTACAAATCCAAATAAAATAAACCTGCATGTAGATGCAATTGCTCCTGTTTTTTAATAAACATGAATACATTTTATACATTGTTGATACAATGTTAATTAGCTGAGGTTGTAATTATACATACGGTTGAAATAGTTCAGGTAAGATTAACCTCAACGTACATACACATCTTACAATCGCTAATACCCCTTAATATTACGGTTACAGTCACTAATGCCATTCAATAACGAGTTACTTAGTTGCCAATGTACAAACACATTATGAATCGAGTCAATTTGTGGAGGAACTCAACTGTATTACGTTGCGCTTCATCTGGCAACGATAGCAAGCGTCGTTTCATGAAGGTGGCCAAAATATGGCCAATTCAAATTAAGCAGTGTTGATAAACTGTCCACAAGAGGGTGCTGGAACTGCACAAATGGGAAACTATCTGGCCTTTTGAACAGGTGTGTTGCTTTTCATATCGTGACACAACGACGTCATGGTGCAAACTTTAATTGTAGTGATCTTTACATTCCTATCATTAATACAACTGATCTGTCTGATAACTACCGTGCGTCCCTACTTTAAACTCTGGGACATTTGTACATTGATGAAAACTATTATTCTTTGTGTATGTGTGCAGAGCAACTCATAGCTCTGATATCAGCAGCGAAGCAACACAACATCGACTTCATCTATGCGATCTCACCTGGCCTGGACATTACTTTTTCCAACCGCAAAGAGGTGGCTGCACTAAAGAGGAAACTGGATCAGGTAGGACTTTGTATGTATGATTAAAAGGAGGAGCCATGTTTATTGCTGATAATTTCTAAAGTTTTATCAGCGGTTAAAACACTACAAGTAGGTCAACTAGGATCTCCGGCACGGCCGCCTTTCCAGCAATGACTTAGAATTAGGCTGTGTTCGGAATTTGTCACTTATTCTGATTCCCTCATGCAGTGGTTCTTAACCTTTTTAGAGGCACCGAACCCAACCAGTTAATATGCACATTCACCGAACCCTTCATGAGTGAAAAATAAATATATATACAGTAAATATTCCCATCCCCGGAATTCTATGAAAAGGAATATCCTTCACCCGGAACAAAAGCCTGTGCATTAACATTTTGACTATGATATTACATGTTACCGGAACTTACGTAAGCGGAAATTCCACTACCCGTAACCCGGATTGAGACATCATGCCGCGGGAGCTGAAATACACGCAACGCCCACCCGATGCTACGGAACGACGACACCGAGACACATTTTCACTTCGCGTTTTTCGATCATCAGATTCGAAACGACGACGTGTAAGCGAGTTTTTATTGGCGTGCGTTTGACTGCAATTGCGAAAGATTTTAACTTTATTCACTTACGTCGTGTAGATCTTGGCATCAAAACGTAGAAGAACTGTAATGACTGGAGCGGAGCGAGTGAAATGCATCCGTTTGAGCAAGGCTGGACACAAAGTTAAAAGCATCCAGCAGACACTTGGAGTCGGAAAGACGCAAATCTACGAAACTTTAAAAAACAAGGCATCGATTCAACTCCTGATGACAAGCCACCATCCAGCGAGGAAGCAATGCAAATGGCAACAAATCCATCAGTATGCACAAGAATTACCAGACATCGGTGATCAACGGGACAGTTACTTGCAACTAGCAAGAAAACTGTATGACACGCAGGCAAACATTGTCATAAACCAAAGAATGCATCCAACAAAACAATCCAAAATAGACACATTTTTTTCCCAAGACAGAAAAAAAATAAACATTAAAATACTGTACGTATTTTACTGTTGTGATTTTTTTTGGATACACCTGTTGCAGTTTTTGTTATATAAAGTTTTTGGACAATATATTTTTGTATTTTATTGATTGTGTTGTTACACGTGCATTTTTGTCAACATACTTGCAGGTTCATAAAGGACATGTACCATGCTCATTTCCCAAATGAGGAATTTCTGTTATCAGGACAAATTGGACAGCGCAAACACGAGTCCGCACTAGAGAATATTTACTGTATTTTTTGCAAATTCAAGATATTAAAAAAACGCATTTATTAAAAACAGAAAAAAGTAAATACAATTTCAAGAGATAAGTATACTTTTTTTTAATTGTACGACATACTATCACGACAGTCACGCGTTGACAACTAAGCGAACGAAATTTCCCACAGCACTGATTGGACAAGCAATGTCATGTGATCATCTACAGCCAATGATGGCCAAGTGGGCGTGTCATAACTAATTAACATGTTGAATCGGGTGTGTCTTACCCTCCATGGCAGAGGCTCCTTCCAACCCCTGAGACCGACTCACCGAACCCCTGGGGTTCGATCGAACCCAGGTTAAGAACCACTGCCCTAGTGCCTAATCAAGAAGTATATCGTTCAGCACCTAATGTTCGTCAAATGAAAAGTAATTTTTGAACACAACTCGAGTGCAACGTTAATTACATCATTGCTGTCATGGACCATCTGTAATAATTATTGAATGAATACATACTTTTTAATAAGATTAGATTGTTTTAAGATGAGTGTATTTTATAGAATTAGTGGCGTAGCTCCATCTAGTGGATGCATAATGCAACCGCAGCCGCTATTGTAGTTTCTATTCTATACAGTCAAACCTTGGCTTTCGAACGTGTCTGTTCTCGACCAAATCGGTTTTCGACCAAAAATTTCGAGTTTTTTATGCCTCGGATTACGACCGAAAATCGGTTCTCGACCAAACTGAGCGCACTTGAATCTGCCACTTGACTCCTCTCGCCTTCCTTACACGAGGAAGTGACGCTTCCTCGGGTAGACGAGGAAGTGACGCTTCCTCGTGTAGCGTTCCATTTTGAGCAGACGTGGGCGTTTTCATAAAAATTTTTTTTTTTTTTTTTTAAAGACCGTGGTTTCGGTTTTTGAACAAATCTGTTTTCGAACAGCCTTCTGGAACGGATTATGGTCGAAAACCGAGGTATGACTGGATATGAAAACTGTTTTAAAATAGGCCATTCATTGAAGGTGCATCTTATAGTGCGAAAAATATAGTCGATAACCTATTGTAAAGTGTCCTTGGGTATTTTGAAAGGCGCTTATATATAAAATGTATTATTATCATTATTATTATTATTATTATACTTACCACACCTTCGTACAGCACTACCAATGGTGAGCATACTATTTAGAGTACGAAATAGTAGATAAAGAGTGATTCCGAATGCAGCCTTAGTAACATTTTTGCAGATTAAATATGTGTTCAAAACCTGTCCCAAACCTTCTCTAGGTTAGAGAGTTTGGCTGCAGCTCCTTCTCATTACTGTTTGATGACATCGAAACAGAGATGTGTCCTGCCGATAACCAGGCCTTCAGCTCCTTTGCCCACGCGCAGGTGGCCATCACCAATGAGGTGTACCAGCATTTGAGAGAACCGGAGACCTTCCTCTTCTGTCCCACAGGTCGCCAAATCAACTCCCTTTAATTAAATTCTGTAAAGATTTAGTTTCAGTTGACTGTGCAAATTTTATTCACAGTGAATCCCTGCCATTCATGAGAATTAGGTACCAAGCACCATCTGCTATAACGAAGAAGACCTGCAAGAATCATTTTCTCTGTTAATAATTTAAACCCTAAACATACCACAAGCTATAATATGATTGAAAAACACTTGAAATTCATCTTCCAACATAAATCTTAAAATGAACAAAATAGAACATTTGATTTAGGAAAAAATGAACTGGACATGTGATGATGTTGGCATGTGTGTTTGCAATTAGCCATCTTATTCCATTTTTGACTGCAGGAGATACACGGATAGCGGTAGCTATTGAGACTTGTACAAGAGGCAAAAAACAAAGTAATTGAAGCCTTTCCCCACCAAAAAAATTTGTAAGTGCTTGCGGATACCACAGTATGGTCGAAAAGCAGTACATGAAGCTTTTAAACTCACTTCAGCATAGGTCCTTGGCTCCAAGATGCCACAAGATGGCACCAAAGCAATACTTTATTAGACACGGCTATGGCATGTGCATTAAATTTATTCAGCAATTCCCTGCCTATTGTTTGCGGTTTTATTTATGCACATATATATTTGTGTAACTTATGTGCTGAAGCTGTATGGCTCAGTGGTAGAGTGGTCATTTCCCAACCCAGAGGTTGGTGGTTCGATCAGGTTATTCCTGATGCTGCATCATCAATAGGTGAATGTGTTACAGTGCTTTCAGTACCCGAGGTAGAAAAGCGCTTTACAAGTGACAGCGATTTATCAAAATTATATATATATCACAGCAATAAACCATCAATTTAGTTTCCTCTAACTCTACCTGAGCAACTAGTCATTACTCTTCCACCGCTGCGAGTAGTGATCCTCACCATCCTCTGGATCATCTTGAGACCCACAAGCAGACTCTCCTGCCTATTTGACCTCTTCTACAATTATTCGGGATGCTGTTGTTCACCGTCAAGCCAGCTGGCTTGCAGCTGGTGGTCAACGCTGGCTGCCACTCCGCCTACAGTGTTGCCTTCGCCGGGTGGTTTGGCAGCATCTTGCGGCATTCTAGAGAGATCACCAAAAATACACAGATAGGTCTAAATAGTTGAGTTTTTCAGCAAATAATCCCCTCCCTCTCAAAAAAACCCTCAAGATTAGGTGAATTTGCGAATGGTGAATCGGCGGGGGGTTCGCAGTGTGCGTACATATTTTAATATAGCCATGAAGTTCTAAATACATACTTTTGCACATTAACCAATGTTCTTCCCCAAAACTGCAGATTATTGTGCTGCTTTCTGCACTCCAAACATGTCACAGTCATCTTACCTTCACACTGTGGGAGATGAGCTGCTACCAGGGATAGACGTGTTGTGGACAGGTAATTTATACAGAAACACATTGAGGTTTTAAGACTTTATCCAAAGTTCCCCCATTCACCCAAAAAAAGTCCACAACCTTACACAAGTAAAATTTAATCTCAGGTCCAAAGGTGGTATCCCATAAAATCTCAGTGGAGTCCATAGAAGAGGTGTCCTCCATCCTCAAGAGGGCGCCAGTCATTTGGGACAATATACACGCCAACGACTATGACCCACAAAGAATTTTCATGGGCCCCTATAAGGTAAATACTGATTGATTGAAGAAATGATGCTCAACGGAAAGAAATGGTTCTCGCAATACAGTCGGACCTTGGTTTACAAGTTGAATTTGTGACTCAATGTACTCATTATCTCAAATTGTGAGTGAGACACGGCATGCTGATTGGAAGGCAAGGTATGACTGCATTTGGAGAAAAAGAGCCATACCTCGATGTTAAAAATGTATAATCATGTTACCGGTACTTTTTTATTTACCAAGTCCATTAAATTAGAATTTTAAAAAGTCATGAAAAAAGCGAAAAAAAATGTCAGTCTTTTGTTTAAAGTTTGTAAACATTGAATGAGAAAGATAATAGTAATACACCATGTATCAGTTTGACGAAAGTGTGCAAAAGCGTTGAAAATGGAATCGGACTCCCCCTGGCTTGTGCACTTTTGAAATGTTCTTCTTTTCCATTCAGGATCGTCCAACTGAACTGATCCCTAAACTAAGAGGTGTGCTCACAAATCCCAACTGTGAGTTCCATCCAAATTTTGTGGCAATCCATACTTTGGGGACCTGGTGCAAAGCTTCTGCTGATGGAGCAGCCAGGGATGTGGAAATGGGTGAGCTCTCCCGTTTTCGCCGCGATGGATGCCTCGATGAGATTTCCTGTGTTGTTATTCTTGCGCTTGTGTGTCCGACATGAGGCGACGAGGAACAGGACCCCTGCTATAGCCCCCACAAAGCCCTGACGCTGGCCCTCACTGACTGGCTGGAGGAGTTTCTGTGTACAGATCAGCCTACAGGTAGATAAGCTCCACCACAGCTTTGAACTTGCTTGTTGTGGTGCACAAAAAAAAAAAAAAAAAACACCTTCTGATATTGCGATCACCTGAAATCAATATCAACATAGTGACAGGCAGCATGTATGCATGTTCTGGCTTGGCAGAAGTTTGAGACACAGATTTGTATCACACCCTATACACATGCTGCAGAGCAACACGAGGAAATGGAAGTCAAACCGTCAAACCGCGACCCAATTTTGTTCCAGCTTGCTGTAAGAAGGAGTCGTCTGACGAGGAGCCCATGCAGACAGACCTTGGAGAACACTCGTATGTGCCCGGAGCGGGAGAGAACCCGCTTTACACAGCCGAGCCCCTGACCCTAGACGACTTGAAGCTGCTGTCCGACCTCTTCTACCTCCCCTATGAATATGGCTCCACAGCAAAGACCATGCTACATGAGCTGAACTGGCTCAAAAGCCACAGTCAAGCTGCCGCCGTCAAGACGGACCAGGTCAGATTTGACATCACACTTGCATACATCGTCGTCATTTTCCATCCGTCAAGTATAACCTCATAATCATTGCCGAAGCCCAATTATGACCTATAGATCATTTCCAAACGTGTTCACCGAAATACAGAGTAAATGGATGATTCATCCTTTGTTTCAGAGAAAAGGGAAAGTATATGTTTCGTTTTTCACCAACTGTCACTTTTTTTTAGTATTGAGTGTGCATGATCATTCTTATGCTGGTTTACTCTTTCACTCTTTCCTGCGGGAAACTGTGCAAGATTTGGCGGGAACACACACAGAAAGTTCTGAATTCTTTCAAGCTACCTCTTAAACACGGCTAACACTGTCCCACTCATTTGTGGCATGGACAGTTTCACAGCTTCAAGAGTCCCACCATTTTACTTGATTTAACACATACAAAATCTACAATCCATTCGAGGAGGCATGGGTCAAATGTACTCAAATGGACTCAAAATTTGTAGCACCTGTAGAAAGGAATGACATTTTAAAAACTATTTTCATTTTTGTTTGTTTGAGGTCACTTCAGGGAAAAGCATGGCGGCGCGGGCACCCGCAGCGGCTCCTCTTGTTGTCTGTTTAAGAGGGAGGAAATTTCATCTGTGCTGTCTGTTACACATACAGCAAATTTGACAATAAAGTTGTACTTGATACTTGAGCATCACATTTCAGAGTGACAGAATGACATTGTGGTCGTTTGTATTGGTGTCAAATTTCAAAACTAGTCAAATCTGACCTGAAGATTGAAGCGCGTCGCCCACTGATGTGTTTCTAGACGGCCGAGTGGTGTTCGAGAGCACGGCAGTTTGACGACATGTGCGAAGCGGTGGTGCGGATGTTCAACCGTTTGTCCAATGCGCCCAACCGCAGCATTCTGTATGACCTCTACAACTACATCTGCGACATCAAGAGCGGCGTCAATCTGGCTCAAGCATACGTCAAATCGCTCGGTGAGAAAAGCAGAATAATGTCACTGTCATTTCACTACAAGCAGGTCAATCTCAATGTTCTATTTCGGATTGGTCTCTTTTTCTTATTTTTTTTAACCTTTTCTGGGACGGCAGTCACCACAGTGGACAGATCTTCAAAAGTTACTGTCTCCGACATGAACGAATGCCCCCCCCCCCCAACACCCTCCTCCCCAAAAAAAATTCGGATGTAGGTTATCATAAGTCTTGCATGAAAGGGTTAAATTAATTTTGATGACAGTTTTTACCTTCCCCCCCTCAGAGATTCATTGCAAAGACACTTGAGCTGTCCTTCACTGATACCTTTGTACATTCTCTATGGGAAGTAATAATTAGTTTTTTTGATCACCTTACGCATTTGTAAGTTTGCTTACTTAGAAAGAAATTAAGTTTCCAGTTTTTTGGTTTTGTATTGATTATGATTACACGCTATCAGTGGGGAACAATAAGTTATAAAATATTGAGTCTAATAATTATAATTGATTGTCCACTCCAACTCAGCCAGAATTTTGCCACCCACAATTTGGCTTGTGCTCATTTATATCAGTGGATACGCTTTTTTGAGTGGTTAGATTCATACAGGAGCAACAAAAAAAAATAAGAAATAGGAACACAAGCTGCTGAGCCGCACCGCAGACATTTTTGCAAATCCTGTGCAAAATGTACAGCTCCTTGGTGCTAGAGTGGCTTAAGGTAGCTGGGGGCTTGCATCTTCAAAATTATAGCCTTTACAAATTGCACCTTGTACGGACAAAAGGAATATATTTGGAACACTCCGAGCTTAACATCAACATTTGCTTACCACAGGAGGGCTTGGCAAACCATCGGCCCAGCTAATGAGTGCTGATCCTGAACCGTGGGGATTCAGAGGAGGCCTCTCTGGAGAGTTTCAGGTGAACTGACTGGCTTGTTGTCATCTGAAAGTGATGGATGTCAAAGTTCATTGTTATTTGTTTTGAATTTGAAAAGGCAGCTGCCAGAGTAGTAGTTGGCACGCAGCGGGAGGCTGTGCATCGGTACCTGGGTCTTACCCATTTCATCCAACCACTATTATGTTCCAATTATGGAAACCGATGCATACATATGCAGCCCCCCGCAACTGTGCCACATATATTATCTAGAGTGCTTTAGAATGAATACGGAATCATCAATATTGAAGTAAAATATATTATACTCACTCGAGATGCTGATTATTAAATGGATGTCATCGGACCCAAAAAAAAGAAAACAAAACGGTCCCATTTTAAATGTAGTTCAAGTTACAAATGAGGAGGTTAGACTATTGGGACAAAGACAAATTGATGGAACAAATATTCAAATTTAGGTTCTAAAATGGAGGGCAGTGCCTGACTGTGATGGTTTTTTGGCAGCCGGGGAAAGCGTTGCTGGCCCTGACAACTCACCACTGTTAGCATGTCAACCTTGGGTTCAAATCTTGGGTTCAAACCCCGTGTCGAGTTTACACGACTTCGCCATGCATGGGTGGGTTTTCCCTGGGTACTGCGCCTTCCTTTCATATTCCAATAACGTGTGTTAGGTTCATTGGAGACTCCAACCTGTAAATACCTGTGAGGGTAAATGTGCCAGTCCAGGGTGTACCCTGGCTCTTGGTCAGAGTAAGCTGAGATAGGCGCACGTGTGCTACACAAAGTGGATTGATGGATAAAAGGATATAAGACAAGAAACTCCTTATTAGCCTCTATTATTATTGGTGACATTGACATCGATTTTTTTTTTCTGTGCTTCCTGCCTACCCACAAGCTGGAATGCCACACATGCACAAACAAGTTCTTGTGGTCGTGCGCTTGAGGACACGATGCAGAGCAGTTTCGGATTAAAGGGCACTTCGGTATTGCTCAAGGAGATGTTAAGACATTTTCAAATTTGCATTTTTGCCGATTGATATATTTGGGAACCTGTCCTGTGTTATTTGTTGAAAAACTTTTTTGTGCTCAGGACGAAGGCATGTCTAAAATCAAAATATTACTTTGGTGCCATTTTGGGATGAACAATGCTGAAATGAGTTAGATTTCATTTAGTCAACACATAGTTTTGTCTGGTACCAAAAAAAAGTGCTTTGCCACAATCTTATGGCAAAAACCTTTTTGCATGGGTATCAAATACTTGTGAATTTTCGTTCGTAGCGTGGCTCGTTCTCAAAACCCAAGCCAAGCGTTTCCAAAACAAGCTGCTACTGCTGAAACTTAGCGCGATATTGTCATTGAACACCGTTTATGTCCTTTCAGAGAATGCTGCCAGGCCATGGAAACAGAGACCTGTTCAAACATCCGCCCAGGACGTCGGTGTACTGCATACGGCCTTACTGTGCAGAGGATAAGGTGAGGTTATTCAGTCAGTTGCCCTAATCCATCCCAACATTCCTTTTGCCAACACCGCGTCACTTTGTTGTCTTTTCTAGATGGACGTGCAGAGAATTTTTGTGAAGATGCAACGAGAAAGACAGATTCAAGTCGCCTCCGTGACAGAGTCCCCTCTTATTAGTGACATGTAGGTTGGTTTTGAGATTATTCATGTATTGCGCGAGGAAGGATGTCCACAGAAAGTTACGCTAAGGCAGCAAAAAGACTCAACTGGTGCACCAAGTGCATTTGTGTTTTGCTGCCATTCCAGTCCGAGATAATCACCACTCGATGAGGAAATTGACACACACACTTTAATTAAATTATTACCTGCAGGTTAGGGTGAGAAGTCTGAATGAACAGTGTCATCCCATTGAAACCAAAAACACACTCCTCTCCTGATTTGAATGTGTCGGTTGCAGCCTGTCAGCAGGCGAAATCCCCCCGAGCCCTCAGTGCGCGCTTGTCCTGGAGGATGATGCGGGGCCGTGCGGCTACATGCTGGCGCTCACAGATGTCAAAGCAGCCTCCGTTCAGGTGACAATTTGGAATGAGCAAATCCCGAAAACGGGAAGATCAAGATGAATTCCAAATGCCGCTGCTTTTGCTCTTGCCTCCAGAGGGATATGAGTGAGCGTGTATTTGAGGACTTCCCTTCGTTAATCACTGGACAAGTGCTGCCAAGGGTCACCGACCCCTCTCCGGTGAAGCGTATGATTACACAACTGTTGTCCACCATCAGGAACTGTGGTAAATTGACACATTTAATGAATAGGTCATCTTACTATCTGCAAAAATGTTGGTTTTGTCATTGTCAACTTTGAAATTGGCACTATTCTGGAAAGCCATTTGAGCATTTCGTTATCCTTGATATCCAGCTACCCATAAAACAAATACCGTACTCACCCCGTTTCAAGAATATTGAATAAATGTTCGAAGTGGTAAAGTGGCTTTCCGTTGCTAAGGTGAAATTGAAAACACTTGAGCGTTTTTCAGGTTCCAGAGGAGTATTCTGTGAGTTGAGACACGGTGACCGGAGGATGCTCGACTTCTACACCAAAAGTTGCTCCTTCCAACCAATCAAATTGGCCGGCTTGCCTCCAGATGTCATCGCCATGGGAACAAGCCTTTAATCTCAAATCACTTCAGAAAAATTGTCAGTGAAAATGTCATTTTTAATAGCAGTCATCACCTGCTATGAAAAACACATTTGCCTCACAAGCTCTGTGAAAATGCGTAATTCATTTTTGAAGACTTTTGAGTTTTGCATGTTGAGCTGTAATGTCCAATTTTTCATTCTCAGCTCAATAAAAGGCTGTATTGATTTGTTGTACGATGTTAACATTTGGTGGATGTAGGCCTTGTTTGACTTTACGACCCAAAAAAGAAAACTTCCTCTTAAATTTTTATTCTTGTCCATGGTCAGCATACAAAATGTCACTCAAAACATCACTCATAGGGGATACATTTATTCTGTTGTGTGGCTTAGTTCCAAAATATATTAATGGTTTATTTTTATATTAAATAATTCTGCTGCTTATTTGCTTTATTGATTCATTAGAACTTAAAATAAAAATTTTAAATCTGGTCAGTATAAATATGAAAATAGCCTTTCAAGACAAAGCTATGAGTAAAACTATTCATTTCAAGTAGTGCATGAACATTCAATGGTGTGCGATGTTACACGGGTAGCCCTGAGAGTCTGGCCAGCAGAGTTTACCCACAGGAGACAAATTGCATATTTTGTGTGTTATTTTAAGGTAACCATGATCAAGTGAACCAATATGCTTATATTAGTTAAAGGGGAAGTAAACCCCCAAATTTTCTTGACAGTAATTTGTTGGATGCAACCCCACTAGTCTAAACATGGTGTTATGAGGAATATTTTGTTCATGGAATGAATTGAGCAGCACCAAAATCCAACTGTTTTTATCCGTCTCGGAGGGCGGCCATTTTACTACTTATCGTCTACTGAAAATGACATCACAGTTGCTCGGTTAACGACCACAGCGTTTCTGTTTCCTGAAGCTGAGTGCTGATTGGTTGTTACCTGAGCCCTGAGCAATTGTGATATTTTTTTTCAGTCGGCAGCAGGTGGCAAAATGGCCCGCCCCCTCAGATGGATAAAAAAGGGTGAGCTTTCCTGCTTAATCATAATTCGCAAACGCGATATTAAACTATGCAGTGTGTAGACAAGTGGGGGCGCAAACATCATGTTACTGGAAAGAAAGCCTTGTTATTTTCAAATAAACTCCAGGCCTTCGTACTTGACATCGCCGATCTTTGTCTCAGGCATCAGCAACTGGCCGTCGAGCGTAAATGCAACGATGTAGGAGGCGATCCGGCCCGCGTCCTCCTTGGATTTCAGGGCCAGAATAATCTGATCATCTGTGTCGGGAACAAATTTAAATGAGGAAAAACCATGGGTCGGGTTCAGAGGTCCAACACGGCGCGTCGTCATGTCGCTGAAATCGACCCGGCAGGACAGCAGCAAGTTGGTAGCGCGCCGCTCGTCTGCGCCCTCGTCATAACGCTCGTGACTGGCGCGGCGAGGCAGGAAGAACCAACGTTGAAGCCGCTCGCTCCATGCTGCAGATTCATGGATAAGGTAGCCTGCAGCAGACCAACAAAACATAAGACATTCTAAGAAAGAGTCAATGATAGTGACGGAAGTGAGAACTGTTGCAACCTGGTGGTTTGATCCCCGCAGCGCTCCGCAGGGCGTTGTAGTAGGACAGCCAGTTCTTATGCTCAACGTCACCATAGTAACCGACGACTTTCACCCACTGCGGGTGGTGGTTGACTACCTCGCCAGTGGTAGTGGTCCACTCCTTGCCAAGACCGCCAACGTATAGTTGCTGGTCCTTCACTGCAAGCCACTCTGCCTTAAAGCCTACAAATGCACACAACGCATCAACACTCAATTCAGGATAAAGAGCATAATCTATTGATAAGCAGCGGGGGCAGTATTTGGTACCTGGCCTTTCAGGGGATACTTACCAATCACCCCACAATCATGGTCACAATTAGAGAAAATTTCAACCACGGTGAAAACATACACAGCTCAATATGGCCTAAACATTGGACATAATGGGGTGTGTTGATTATTAAATAAGCTACTGTAAATACTTGTGGAGTACTGTAGATGTTACCCTCATTTAAATTAATGAGGACATGAGTCAAACCAAGCCAACAAAATAGCACGGAACATTTCAGATTTGTAATATTTATGTCCAGCATTATTGTTTACTTCTGGTTCACAAATGGTCACGAGGACATCTTCCTCATGCTTTTCAAGTTCAAGACATAAATCTCTGCAGTGACATTCCTGTTGTTGGGTTTTCACCTCTCCTGAAGATACCACATGATGATGGCAAAGCACTGCTTTTGTCAATTAAAAAAAAAGAAGAAAAAAACTCCTCAACTCACTTCAACATAATTCCTTGGCAGCAAGATGCTGCCAAAACAATACTTTTGCTTGCTTTGCCTGGAGCTCAAAAACAGATTATAGTTTTTCAGAAAATAACAGAATTTTCCTGAAAAAAGATGCAAATGGCAAAAAGCCAATTTTCATCCATCCAACCATTATCTGATCCGCTTATCCTCACGAGTGTCACTGGCGTGCTGGAGCCAATCCCAGCTGTCTTAAGGCGGGAGGCGGGGTACACCCTCAACTGGTTGCCTGCCACTCGCGGGGCAAACATCCATATTGTCGAAAGAGCACTAAAACAGCCACCAGGTTAGTTTTTCAAAGGAATAACAGAAAAAACGGTGCAAAAACAAATCCGAACTTGGGTGAATAGGTGAGTAGCAAGATCACATATGGGTGCGGGGGGAACACTGGACAAGGCATCGGCAGTGTAAATCCAGCCAAGCAAGACAGAAGTTAGTTGACTGACCTTTGGAAACAGACCCATCGCCGTCAGGCAGTATGACCCAGGGGATCGCCCGCCTGCCATCAATCCTGTACACCACCCCTGTGCGGTCATCCACGCTGTACAGATGCCCGTTGAACACCACCAGCTCAGACAACTCCATACCTGGAGAAGAAACTTTTTTCAGTCAACACGGAGGCACGTGGACTTTGGCGTAAACTGTGGCTTCAACCTCGTCCTTTCTCCGCGAGGTGACTCTCCAGTGTGATCGTTTCCTCATCCCATTCCACTTCCAGTGTGTCGGCACTTTCTGCGACGGTCAGGTGACCCTTTTTCATGTAGCTAAACCACGTCTGGTCCTTCGGGCTGCGCGACGCTGTGTCAAGGTCTGCAATGACTGCGATGCGGTACCTGATGCCATTGCTGGTCTTCACAGGTGGACTTAGAGGGTACGTGTCATTGTAAGGATTTTCCCTTTTATGCAGCTGGGAGACGCGCAGCATACGTTGTCTCTGAGTGTCCCAGATCATCTGGTCATTACTCTGATGATACATTTGCAAACTGTTGTGGTGGGACTGGCTGGCTGGAGAGTCTCCGTACCCTCCCGTGCGGTGCAGGTACAACATCAGCATCAAAGCCAGCAGTACGGCCACAGAGATCACCGGCCATTTGGGCTTGAGGCGGGAGTCTGAGGAAACCGCTTGCGTCATGGTGGACAGGGCCAAGGGGAGGCCTTGGACGGCGATGCCAAAAGTACTCATAGAAGGATCGTCTCCATCCTCGTTGGGCAGTTCAGGTCGGAGAGGATGCAGGGGCGGTTCTAAGATCAAATATTTAGTGGTGATGAGATCCAGGCCAGGCAAGATAAATTTCATTGTTTGGTACATTTTAAATAGGGGTGCTCCAATCGATCGGACACTGATCCTAATCAGCCACTGTTCGTGGGAATGAAATATGTTTCCATATATAATTTAACATTCACCAGCAATGTTCAAAGCATTGCAGATTGAATCAAGTGGATGTCGCTATGTTACACACAACCTAAAGCAGGGGTGGCCAATTCGGGTGCTTGAGAGCCATTATCCAGCATGTTTTAGATGTTTCCCTCCTCCAACACACCCGATTCAATGAAAGCAAGTTCTGTATTGAGAGCACAAGATTTGGTGCTCACCAAAAAAATCAGCCTCCTGAAAATCTCTTTAGAGTTGGGCAAGCTATAGCTTATTTTCAATGCACGTACATTGCCTTTGCCTTTTCTGGGAATGTCGCCGCTAGCAGCTAGCATTAGCAGATAGTACTTTGTTGCGCTCCACTCAACAGTTATTTGATTGCCGCTAAAGGACTTTTTCTGTCTCTCTGTGCAGTGTGGAGCCAAATGGGCCGCATCCCGGACCACTGTCCTAAAGTCTGAAATATTATTCTGACAGAAATTAAAATACTGTATATAAGAACATGTGTAACTGTTTTATAGAATTATACTTGAGCTTTAAAATGATGTGGTATCTTTTAATTGGCCAAAAGTCTGTAGTTAGCCTGTCTTAAAACAAGCAGTCTCAAACAAAAATATTTTGAGCTCTTTTTTCTTTGCATTGCCAAACACACCTCAAAATTTGTGCTCACCCAGACTAAGATATGTATGTATTTGTTTTATACAGGAAGGATTTAACCTGACGTGTTTTACAGACAGGCTTATCCCCCTTCTCTGCACGGTGTGACGGGCGAACACAAGAGTTTGGAGCACCTCCGCTGTCACTTAAGCGAGTGTGACCAGATTAAATTTCTCCCGGCACACACTGAAAATTTGGCCGCATGTGCAAGCATATTTGTCTCAGTGTCGAGCTCTGATATTAGGACACAATTTTAAACATTTGGGTTAAAAAAACGTATTTTACACAATGCTCTGCTGCCAACTAAATGTGATTTCTTTACTTAGTCCAAAAATATGTCATAAGAAAAACAGATACACACTTAGTAAAAGAGAAAGCCAAGTAAAAAATCAAATAAATCAACTAACCTTGTTAGTTTCTTTTTCTGTCCTTAGTTATATGCTTAGATTTTGAGGGATGTCTCTGATGTGAGGTCTGAGGCATGAGGAAAAGTCGCTTGGAGGTCAGAAAAAAATAATCCTGGAAAAAAAAGGAAGGAAAAAATAATGATTTAAAAAATATTGTAAAAATAGGGAAAGTGTGAATATGCAAATCTGCAAGTGCCGAACTGCAAATATGCATGTCAAGTGTATTCTAAAAACAACTGATCTGAAGGTCCAATCAAAGTTTAAGGGACCACTGTACCACTTATTCCTATGGAGTGAGGTATTATATCAGTTCCCGGTAACTTTTTCAATTTGTTCTTGTAGAACAGCTACAGAATGTTAAAATGTTAGTTTTAAACAGTTGAATGACATGGCCAACTTTACCCTGGAATATAATATCCATTGATTCCTATGGGAATTTTTACTTCAGAAATTCAAACCTTGAGGACAACCGATCCTCTGTACTTCTGTTCTGCCCTTCGTGCTCCTTGCACTCCCAACGGTTCTTCAACTTTTCCCACACACAACCAACAAAGAACACTCTTGTTGTCACTCGTGTAAGCACGACCCATTTGCCATGACTGCACATCACTGACTCTCCCCTCTGATGGCCCCTTTTGGTCGGATTCCTGGATCAACAGATTAGATATCGTGTTGTTGCTTGCGTCCCACAATATCTATGTCCCATCGAGAGCTGATTGTATATCTCAAGATTATGTGCTTTTTTTTCCCTCTGTCATTGAAGGGTGACCAATCCAGGGTGTCGTCTGCCTTTTGCCCAAAGGAAGTTGGGATGTGCTCCAGCTCCCCAACAACTTGAACACATGAATGGATGCTTCTATCCTTCTAATCAAACCACACAGGAAGACAGTAACAGAAAAAAAAATCATATAATAGCTAGATTTGACTGTCTTTTATGCTTCTTGTGAGTTGCATTAGGAATTAAGAGGCTATTTGGAGAATGAGTGTTTTCTCGGAGGGCCCTCACAGTTTTTTCTTTAGTCACACTGTGAACCTGAGGTTACTGACATCAAACCATCCATCTATTTTTTTTATCGCACTTGACATTGGGTAGAAGGTGAATTGAAGTGCATGGCAGCTGGCAATTAAGGCAACAAAAGAAACAAACAACACCACAAATGACTTCAATTAACCCAACGTGTATATTTTAGGGGAGTTGGAAGAAGCTGGAGTACCGGGAAGAACTTTGAGGCAGACAGGCGAACCAGCAGTTCACTGTTCTAGCCAAAGTCAAGAGAAAGTATACCTTACCTTATCCAAGTAATTTATTAACTGTGTACAAATATTTATTTGCATTTGTTTACTGTACAGTTTGTTAATACTGTAGATACATCTTAGCTCCCAGTGGGACGAAGTAAGAAGATGCGTCAAATACAGATTTCAATGTGAAAAAAAATGCTACTACTTTCCTACTTTGTAATTCACCTCACAGACGTCATTTATACACGCAAGGCTGCTGGTTCACTGAAAACGGAACCTGAAAATAAATACATCCAAGTTACGGCGTGGCACGTTTACTTCCTAGTTTAGAGAAGGTGTCTTGATAGTCCTAGCAGTCCGTTACGTTTGTTAGGCTAGCAAGTCTCAGATCACCTAGTCATGAGCTGCACCGATTGAACTCATGACTGTCGAAATAAGAACATAAACAAAGTTAAATGTCTTATAACCCACTTGAGAACGTCGCCATAGTGCTGACGTGAGCCAACAGTTTCGGCTAGCGATGTTTAAAAACTGTTAGCTTACCTGGAGTAGATGTTCGGCTCCATGTCGACATGGACGTGTTCGTTAACTTTTTTTTTGAAAGAGTTAGCGACCTCCCTTTCTCGATTGTGTTTTAACGGCGGTTTGGAAACTGAAATACAGTAGTGCGTGACCGTCACATTAACGACCTTCTTCCTGGTAGAAGACAAAACGGGGGGCGGTGCGTGCAAATACTGACTGCAACAATATAACACAAAAGCCCCTTTCGTTCTCTCGAATTGACGAAAATTGCAATTAAATTACAAATATTTAAAACCTACATCTCGAATAAAAGTGAACCAGTTAAACATACAAAAAAAAAAAAACAACACAGACACATCCATTTTGTGATATGTATTTTTTTTTTTATTTCAACAATACAAATGTCACTAGTTAAGGTGCAATTAAAGTGGTGAATGATCGTGTGCATCTATTCATTACTTTATTTAGGCCGTACTTCAATTTAAAATATAGACATCTTTTATCGAATCTTTACATTTAATAACCATACAGTATGCAGTTTTCAATTTCACATTTAAGTTAACAACAACAGACCTATCAGCTCTGCAGAGGTGACATTTAAGTGATATTCCCATTGTGTTTTGTTGTTGAATTTCAGACAAACCAACGATGACAGATTATAATGGCACCATACTGCTACACTGAAGTGATAACCCGAAGTGTCCCAGTCTGTGTTCCTGATATCGAACAAAGCATGGTTGCATACGAACAATTTCAAAACCACAGGCATTTTAGGCCCGTGTTGAGCTCTCCAGTGCTGTTACAAACTATCAACTGCATTCCGAGCACAAGAAAAATTGACAAAAATGCCAGAGCATATAGCGAGCCATAAATCCATGTATTTGCGCAGGCTTACAATATTTTTAAACATTTTCAACACTCAAACAACAGTAACTTTCACTGAACATTGATATACAACTTTAACCTGATGATGGGATTCAATTATCATCATAGCACATTTCCAAATCAGTGCATGATAAGTCTCTTCAGAGGGATGTCAATCGGTGACACATCCACCTCAGCGTTTCCCCATCATCTTCAACAGGAGCTGCAGGAGTAACAGTCATACCTTCAAAGACGCTATTTGTACTGAATTTCAAGCACTTTTCTCTTTGGGTATTATTTGTCAACTAAAAGTAGATCTTAGGTAGTTGCTCTAAAATTGGGGAATTTATGATTCTGAACCCTCATGGTTAGTACACTTGTAACAGTTTAATTTACTACCTTTGTCAGGTGATAATCTTCATCAACCAGCTGTTCTATGATACTGAAGTGGTCGGTGTTCGACACATCCTCCAAGGTCACATTCAGCCCGGTTGCCTTCAGAGTCTTTAAAAGACAACATTAAAAAGTACTTGTCACAGAGAAGTAAAGAAATATGTGAAATTGTCAATTTATGATTGTCATTATAGTATCCTTAAATACAATACTGATAACCTGGCGGGAAATAAAAAAGCCAGTTTATGAACGGGAATCATTTGGGGAACAGGCATGATAACACCAAAAGCAGACAGAAACAATGAATTACGGAACACAGACATTGTAGTAATCCTCTGACTGCTTGCGAAACTCCGGCGAGTCGTTCTCAGCGATGGCCACAACAATTTGGCAGCTGGAGGAGGAGAGTTTGACCTGAGGGATCAGCTTGCTGGGGCTGTTTCTTATGGCCACCTCCCTGCCGTCAGTTAAAAAAATAAATACATAAATAATCTCTCACTGGAATGGTGGTGGTGATGATTCTAAATTAGGAGAAGATTCTATGCTATCCTTTCCTTTTGAAGACTGCAAAAAGTGATTATCAAAGCTGCTGCATAAAAATACATTGATTATATTGCATATCTATTCATAAAAAGAATAGTGAAAATAGTATTTATCAATTTTCTATTATCTGCAGTTGCTGAAGGCAGACTACAGCCTGGACTGTTCACTTGTCAATCGCAGTTTACAGTAGAGACTGACAACCATTCAGTTAGCCAACCCCCAGACCGTAAGTGGCCATTGTATCCATCCATTTTCTATTGCGCTTGACTTCGCTCAGGTCATGAGTGAGTTGCACCCATGATGGTCTCTCTCAAACTGAGTGAACTCCTCCTGTAGTCAAGTCATCAATAAACACTAGTGATCCCGTGCCAAAAGCACATTAACAGCCATGCGTTCCGTTACAGTACCTCCACCGTGTTTGACACAAGGTGTGGTATGATAACAAATAAAAACATTGCATTCATGTCAAATATACAAATCGAAACAAACCAAAATGAATGATTATCCAAACAAAAGAGCGCTCACAATTATGTTTTGAGAGCAGGGCAAGAGAGGCCCATGTGACAGATTGGAAGGCGGCCATCTACATACTTACTCTGTCATCTTCAAAGGCTCGTTGACATAAGTAGACAAGATGGGCAACAGGTCATAGATACCACTGACAAGAAAAGCACCTCAGGAAAAATAAAGACATTGTGAACATTTTTCTCATTCTTCTTTATAACAGGCACAAGAGCTCAAGACGCTGTTCACCTTTGATTTCAGGCATGATGCTATATTGCGACCAGTCCGTGGAAAGAACCATTGCAGCCAGGTGAGCACCGGCAGAGTGGCCACACAGGTACAAACCGCTATTAAGAGACACATCATGTGACTAAGAAGTGTCACATGGTGGTTTTGAAGTTAACCGAGACCAACGGTGAACGTGAGGACTACCTGATATGAGAATACTGTTGGACGACAGACACAACACTCCTGCGCACCTGAGAAACCATCAGGTCCATATTACCTAAAGAGAAAAAGACATTTTCACACATAATTGTGCCTTTCAGAAGATGAATTTACACTGCCACATCTAAGTGGCCATGTCTGATTTAAAGCCTATACCCGAGTGAGTGTATTTCCTCGTACAATTCAAGTGACTCACAGCCGATTTAGCTGTTTACATTCACAGGACACGTGAAACAACCTGCATGCAGGCGCTGACGCCCAAATTGCATGTAAATAAGGCCACAAGCGTCAAGAGGGGGGCAGTGACAACTCAGATAATTCATAAATACTACATGTTATATTCTGTTTCATTAGCCCGAGCTTACACTTTTCACCACCGATTTTATACCTCTGCATTAACCAGCAGCTGGAAATTTCTTTGACGATCAATACACTTCAAGTATACCATGTTTGAACGACATCTAAGTGTCTATGCTTTTGCTAGTGTTCAAACTCACAGTAGGAGTTTTTTAAAAAAAGTTGTTTATTTGTGCTGTTTGCAAAGATGTGTGTGTGTGTGTGTGTGTGTGTGTGTGTGTGTGTGTGTGTGTGTGTGTGTGCATCATCAATCAGTGTATTTCAATGAAGTCAATGTAACATTGACAGTAGGGCTGGTCTAGTGCTCTGGCATACAGAGCAGCTACCCGGTGGGCTTTTGGGGCCGATGCAGTGATATTTAATGATTATTTTCCTCCATTTACCCCTATATGCTTCTAGCTCCATGTAGAAGCAAAGCAAAACTCCAACACAGACACAGGCAATGGCACAGGTATAATCTCCATCCAACAAACCCACAACATGTAGATACAGTTTGCTTCCTTATAAACACAATGTGGCGTGGCACATCCAAACGACACACTTTCCGTATTGGTCATATGATTTGTTAAAGCGATACATGCACCAATACGGGGTTTCACACTTGCGCACTCAGCACAGTGCTGACGCACCAGTGTTGTTCGTTCCGTCACGGAATTACAGCGTATTTCAATTGGCAGATATCCAACACCCATGAGATTTTCATCCACATTTGTAAAAGGAAAGAAGATAGCCAAGTGCATGGGTGTTTTTGTATTTATGGGGCAATGATGCATATCTGAAGCGTGCCACTTGGGAGCAGGAATTGTGTCACTTGAACCACTGTAGTGTACAGACATGGACAACCATCGGTAATGGGCTTTACCTCTGGGGGCGATGTCGTAGCCAACTGCCACCACGACTACACCTTTATCCATGAGCGGGACTGCCATGAATCCTGACTCCTCCTTACTGTCGAAGAATAATGCATCAGCATGAAAAAAAGTGAACAACTACTTCAAAAACGATCCATCGATTTTTATGTAGCAATTGATCTCATGGGGCACGTATAGACAAAACAACCATTTATGCTCCCATTAATAGCTCTGAACAATTTCGAGTCTAAAGGTAACCTTCAGTTAACTAACATGCATGTTTTTAAAATCTGGGAAGAAGCCAAAGTATCTGCATTAGATTTATTATAGTTTGCGAAAAATAAAGTAATAATTAAAGCTAAAATTGAAAGAACATTTTCACTAGCAAAATAAAATAACGATAATGCTTAAAAAATTAAAACGAACTGCAATTAAATCTCATGTTAATAAATCTAACTAGAATTATAGCGAGAATGTCCTTTTTTTTTCATCTTTTGTCAATTATTGTCATTCATGATCTTTGAGGTTCATTTTAACTGTATTGATTTAGATATTGCTGTATGTCTGTAGAGAAGAAGGAAGGTCAAACAGTCATTTGAGAATTGTATTATTGTTTTATTATCTGACACTGTGACTTTTTTTCTATTTTCTAAAACTAATATTAAAACTAATAAAAATTAAAATGAAGCCTTTTTAAAAATAAAAACTTACACATCTGCTCTAAAACTAAGTAAAACTAACCTATAAAACAAAAACTGTAATGAAAAATTATAAACTATAACCCTGGCCTGCATAAATCTGACACAAGAACAGAGACAACATGCATACGGAAATGAGATTCGAGCCCGAGACCTCTCAACTGCGAGGCAGACTTGCAGCCTGGAAAACAAATAAACAACAACAAAAAAAAAAAAAAACAGATTGTGATGAGCGAACTATCAAACCTGAGAAACTGCCAGTATCCTCCATGAAGGTAAATAACAAGAGGTACATCTGAAAAACGGGAGAGCATCATCAGAACTCAGTGAACACTACGTTAGCGAGTTGTGACAGCTGCATACCAAGAGAGCTGGTGGTGGGTATGTAGGCATCAAGTTTTTCGCCTTCACCTTCTCCATAGGGCACATTGAGTAGAGTTTGAGCCAGACTGCGTGCATGGTCTGTACCTGCATCTCAAAAAACACAATGTCAATATCCCATTATGCATTTCAATGATTTAAATTATTGAGCATTTAATCCATGGTATTATCATACCTGTAGTTATTAAAACAGTGAGTCCCAACCACCGTGCCATTCCAACTACTGGTAATTGGTTTGAAAATTATTTATCCACAAATAACAGAACGCCCTCTGCACACCCATTGGGTAGGAAAATATTCCAACAGACGTTTCTTGCTGCTATCAGAGAAATATGTCAGTTGTTTGGGGCTTAACAAGTACACAGCCATTCCAATTTACAAACACATTCGTGTTCTTAGGAAGAACATCTTCTTTGGAAGACTGTACTTGGCGAGTTCACAAGACCATACTCTTGAAAATAGGCTACAGACACACGGGAACAGGCAGAAAGGCACAGAGGTGGATGTTGATTGATGGATAACACACAAACACATTAATTTTCCCACTCAGCTCCTTTTAAGAGAAAACAGAAAGTTGTGCAAAAAAATCCTGAAACAGTGTACGGTTGGATATGTGCATTGAAAAGTATATAGGTCATATTGGGATAACCTAGAAATTAACAGTGTAGGTATATGCAGTGCATGCACTTAAGGTTCACAATGAAATTTCACTTGAAAGTCCAAACACGCAAAGAAGTTGCGATTAGTCGTAGTGTACTTTCAACAGGAGTATATGTCAGACGACAAACACCTGCCAACGCTGCAAGGCAGGAGTCCCTAATTGATCAGAACACACCTTCACTCGCGAATATGGTGTGTTTTATGACGATTATTGCCTACAAATCCTCAAGACAAGCACAATATTTCCCACGGTTTTAAAATGAGTTTTTTTGCCCGTTTCTTCCATGGCTCGATGGTGTGAACGGGGCTTCTGTGTACAGTAGCTATCTACATTATACAATCGACATTAAATTTCAGTTTTAAAAGGAAAAGCGACCGACCTTCCTTTAAAGCCTTGACGTGGGCCTTGATCACGTCGTCTGCCGCCATCCTGTGAGACCATCGGCTGGGTGAATACTGCCTCTCGAGCTCCTGGTTACGCGGACGAGCAGTGATTCATTCAGTACGCAGATGAGCCGAACCAAGCCGCACAGGACGTCCGCCATCATTGAGCGGAGTAATACGGTAAACAAGGAAAACAGCGCCCTCCTCTGATTTGGTGTGACCATCCGCCATGTTTGTCAGCTACAGTATGTATGTCAGTGTAAATGCAAGTCTTAATGGTTGTTCCTCTATGTCACCTGTATCAAATTCAAGGCCCGGGGACCAGATCCGGCCCGCCACGTCATTTTATGTGGCCCCTCGAAAGCAAATCATGTGTGTCAACTTGCATGATCCTTGCTAAAATGTGCACCGAAATGTCAAATTGTCATGGGTAATAAATAATAAATGAGATTTTGCAATCATTTTGTGATATTGTTTACACTCACTTGAACTCTAATTGAACAAACTATTATAGTTATATAAATTATATAAATCCAATCATTTGCTGTGTACAAATAATCATGCGACGAGACGATTAAAAATGTTTGTCGTTTCGACGGCCCTCCGAGGGAAGATGTAACTCCGAAGTGGCCCAAGACAGAAATGAATTTGACACCCCTGCTCTATGTGTTCCCTGCGTTTGGCTGGCAACCAGTTCAGAGTGTACACCGCCTCCTGCCCGAAAACAGCTGGGATAGGCCCGCCACCCTCGTGAGGATATACAGATTAGAATATTGCTGGCCAAGTACAATAACACAACTGCATTCTTACATCTTTCTTCATTGCAGTCCAGGATATCATTTTCTATGTCTTGAAGAACCCTTCTTGAAACTCTCTTAATAGATGACCAAGGTAACTGTGAACAGCAGTGGGGAGAACTATTTTGGACTTTGACCCTTGACTCCCCCTGACAGACAGTTTGAAGCCTAATGTTTACTCTTGAAGTTCAGAATACTGTTTTTCATAATCTGGGGGAGTGGGTGTTAGTAAACCAATTGTAATATTCATTCATTCATTTTCCGAACCGCTTTATCCTCACTAGGGTCGCGGGGGGTGATGGAGCCTATCCCAGCTGTCTTCGGGCAGGAGGCGGGGGACACCTTGAATCGGTTGCCAGCCAATCGCAGGGAACACAGAGACCAACAAACATCCACGCACACACTCATACCTAGGGACAATTTAGAGTGTTCAATCAGTCTGCCATGCATTTTTTTGGAATGTGGGAGGAAACCGGAGTACCCGGAGAAAACCCACGCAGGCCCGGGGAGCAAACTCCACACAGGGAGGCCAGAGCTGGAATTGAACCAGATACCTCTGCACTGTGAAGCCGATGTGCTCACCACTGGACTACCAGGTAATTTCCAACTCTTTGTTTATTTTCACCCTCAACAGATGACGACACTATGTAAAAAAGAAAATATAGATAGAGGTCGAGGGGATCAAGTTAACTCGAGTGGCAGACTGCTAATCATTCAAAATGCACGCTAAATGTTATCTAGCTTTTGAAAAAAAGAGGAGTAAAATATTCTCAATCCATGGCTTTATTTAAGAGAATTCCTGGATGTTGTCAGATTCAAGAATCATTCATGGCAAATTGTTGGTGACAACAGATGTAAATTCGCTGTTAACTATCTCTAATCCAAATTCTTATTGGAAATTCCTTGAAATAAATATAAATGTCTTGTGCCACCAGCGTCTGGCGCAACAAACAATAAATTAATAACAAAGATTTATTTCCAAGTCTGTACTTTTTATTTTGCATGAAGTAAAGGAGTTGAAAGAAAGTTCAATGTGAATACAGTACTGTACCTTGTAGGCGTTGTGTAGAGTGCAACTGTAGGTGCGTTCGGAAATTTGTTCAGACACCGTATTTTGCAAGTTTGTGTATGTTCGGAGGTAGAGCGCAGCACTCCCATCCCATTCATTTCCGAACGCAACATATTATAAACCAATCAGCAGCTCATTCTTGAACTGTTTTCGACTATACTGCCTCACGCACGAGGTCCCGGCACTCATTTATTTGAAGACACGATAAAAGAACGGTTTGAACGACGTTAAGAGTGAAGCCGTGCAGGCTGGGAGGGAGATATTTTCGATTTTACCCTGTGCATGGTTTGAGTAAAGTTAAAACGGAAAAAAATGATAGTGGCCTCATTGGCTAAAAAGAATCATGTGACATTCAGAACCACTGCTATTGGTCTTTATCATTTCCGGTATAGAACTGGCCGGGCGGATATACTCAGATATACTCAGAGGCGCGCGCTCGTTTAATTTATTGTTTGAGAGCAGCTACTACGTGTACCTGGGTTACATCTGCACTTCACTTTTTTCAGTTTTTTTGTTTGCTCCCAGAAAAAATGGACTGTGTGGATTTTCCTAAAGTTTTTCCGAATTCTCCGAGGAAAGCCCAGGGGCAAATACAGGTTTGTCATTGCTGCAATGGCTTTGTTTTCATCGAAATGAACCGAAGTATTTTATGTACTGTATTCCTTTTTACATATTTTTTTCCAGCAATACATTTGCACGTAAATTCCGTAACATCATTGCTAACTGTCTCCCCGCTAATGTTTTTCTACAGGTCATCTTTGGACCGATGTTTTCGGGCAAAAGGTAATATTTTGCAATACTGTATGTTTCGTTAGAGTTACTACCTCATTTCATAAATGTGTGTACGTCTTTCAAATTGTGGCAACAACCTAGTCCCGCCAATTCACGCATTGTGCACGTCACTCAACTCCTTTCACTCCCGCTCTCTTTCACTCAAATGTGCTCTGCTAATCGCTCGCAAACTTTTTACACAAAGTACCATCTCCAAAAATACCATACCGCCATAATGAGGAACATGAGTGTTACATTCTAAATGTTCCTTATAAACGAGGCCGGGGCTTTATTCCTAAAGCATTCACAATGAATATCGTACATTATTGTAAAACACCGTGACATTATGCTAAATTTTAACATTAACAACGTGCTTGAAAGAACAAAAGGAAAACAATCAACTTAATGATTCAATTACATCGTATTGTGCATAAAATACGAATGACTGTGTTTCAATAAATGTTTAAAAAGAAAGAGTTCCTAAAAGATAAAATACAGATGTATTTTACTAGGCTTAAAAAGTAAAAATATGTACTCTATGAGATGAAAAAAAAACTCCGACTATATGCACAGCAATAAGCGATCTTCTAATACATGAGTGTAAAAATCAAGGCCAGATCTGGCCCTCAACACCATTTTCTTGTGGCCCGCGAAGGCAAATCATGTGCATCGATATGTTTCTTGCAAATTGTCTTCACTTCTAAATCGGAACACTGAGAAAATAAAATGCAAGTATTTTTTTTTGTTACCAATCCCTCTTTAAAATTAAAAATAGTTGATCATACAATTTACTTCCTATTTCAGTACTAGTTATTCATCAATGTGTGCATATGTACATATGTCGGGCGATCAAACACTTGTGTTCACAGTCATAATGGGCTTCCAAGGAAAAGCATAACTACGATGTGGCCAGCGACAAAAAATTACTTTAATCTGTTTTAATATGTTTGATTGTATTGCATGTTTTAATTTGTATTTTTAATACAGTAATTGATTCGACTTCCGCTAGTGGCACTTTGAGAATCACTGGGCTAAGCATGTGGACATGCATCATGTGTTACAATGGATTTTATTCTGTGAAATTTGCATCAATTTACTAATCTGTTGTTTGTTTTTTACAGCACCGAATTGATGCGAAGGGTGCGGCGTTTCCAAATAGCCCAGTACAGCTGCTTGCTGATCAAATATGCCAAAGATACACGTTACTCTGACTTAGGCGTGGCCACGCATGATAAGTAAGCAACCTGCTATTTTTTAATGTGTTTTACCTTGCAAAACAGTTGCCTCTATACAAGTCTCTAGGCAGTGTTTGTATTTGCAGCGTTAGCTTTTACTGTCCTGTATTGCGCTATTTTTTTTGCCATTTTCATCGATGACAACCGGACCAAACTGACATCGAATGGCCTTTTGTCTATTTTATCGCGGAACATATTTTAACTTGACAATTGCACGCATTTGGCAGGATTGAGGGGAGTTTAAATCATGCAAAGAATTTATTTGACCTTTTACTTCCCTTAGAAACACAATGGAGGCAGTACCTGCAAACTGTTTGCGAGATGTGCACTCGTTGGCACTCCGAAGCAGTGTCATTGGAATTGATGAAGGACAGTTTGTAAGTTTACATTTCTTTTCCTGAAATTTTGTGAGGGAGGGGGTTAGCAATAGTAGTTAGTAAATGATGTAAAAAAAGAAAAAAACTATTAAAAATGTTTTTAAAAAAGGATTATTTTAATTGCAGTGTTATGTTTGTAGTAGGGGAGGGTGTGATCACGTGGGAGCGCTGCCTGCCAGAGCTGAATTCTTGACCAGTGGTGGAAGAGAATCTTTGTGTCTGGGGAGCTGTGTTGAAATTATCCGAGCACCCTGTACACAATTCGAACAAAAGTATGGAATGCCCGTTTTTATTTATTTAGTTACTTATGTATGGGGTCCGGTCTGCCAAGGACGATTCTGTTATGATTCGAAAAATCCTTATGTGTGTACCCTGTCTTAGTTGCAGTGACACTGCACAATAGAGCCAAATACAGGGCAATTTGGGAAGAAAACTTGATGAAGTCTGCAAAAGACCTGAGACTGGGATGAGGGTTTACCGTCCAACATGACAATGATGCATGAAAAGGTTCCAAACTAATCATGTCCATGTGTTAGAATGGCCGAGTCACAGTCCAGACCTCAATCCAATTGAGAACCCGTGGAAAGATCTGAAAATTGTTGTTCTCAAACGCTCTCCGGCTAGCCTTACTGGGTCTGAGCTGTTTTGCACGGAAGAATCAGCAAAAATTTCAGGTTCCACGTGTGCAAAACTGATAGAGACATGCCCCAAAAGAGTTGCAACTGTAATCGCAGCAGAAGGTCGTCGTACAAAGTACTGTATTAACTCAAAGGGTCAAATGTTTGCATACCCGACTTTTCACATTTATTTTTTATCTTTTTCTTAAAAAAAGGGGGGGGGGCAGCGGCGAATACACAAGCCAATGTTATTGGACTATAATTGGTTGCAAAAAGTTGAGTGCAATATTCTTGGAACAAACACAGCTTAACACCATTTGTAGATGGACTGGCGTGTGGCTATGGACTCCCACTTTACCAATCAACTGTTTGTTTGTTTTTTTGTTTTTTGTTTTTTTGTTTTTGTCGCTGCAGTTCCCAGACACAGTGGAGTTTTGTGAGGAGATGGCCAATTTGGGCAAGACCGTTATTGTTGCTGCCTTGGATGGGACCTTCCAGAGAAGGGTGAGGTCTTCTCTCCCCCCACCCCCTGGCAAATGCACGTTGTCTGTCTAGTCCAGCAGGAATGTGTTTTGACGCATTAAACTGTCAAGATGGAGGCAAACATTTTGCAATGTCCTCGGTGTTCCTCACAATGAAATCTCTGTTCTCTCTCGAGATTATACCTACAGTACATTCAATCAAATGTCACCGACTCTCTCATGCATTTTTGTAGCCATTTGGAAACATCCTGAACCTTGTCCCTCTGGCGGAAAGCGTGGTGAAGCTGCACGCCGTCTGCATGCAGTGTTACAAAGAAGCGGCCTACACCAAGAGGATTGGAGCGGAGAAAGAGGTCAGCATACACCCAAGGAAATAAATTAGCAAGGTTTATTTTGTATTCCCCCGTCACGTTTCCTGTGTTACACAGGTGGAAGTGATCGGCGGAGCTGACAAGTACCAGGCAGTCTGTCGAAAGTGTTACGGACATCTGATGGTGACCAAAGAGAACCGACCTCCCCTCAGGGATGAGACTCCTCAAAACGCACTTCATGGAAAAGTTGTGGACTCTGGAATTCCCAGGAAGCTTTTCTCTTCCCTCCACCTCTGAAAACTCAAACACAAGCGTCAAGTTTTGAAATGTAACTGTTGTATGTTTAAAGCAAAGTCTCGTTGCGTTGCACGCAGTTACAATTGAATGAATTACAATTGTGGTCAAGTCCCCTCCTAAATGGTGACATGGGAAAATTATTTGGGTTCCATTCATGTAATAGTTGTGCTTTTTACTGATTATGTATTTTTATACATTATCAATGTAACCAAAACAAGCACTTAAATATTTGCATGTTTCAGCAGGTTTTATTTTAATAAGTTATTGTGTAAAAGTATTGATATTAGTGCAGTATTTTTCATGGTTTTTATTTTCAACAACTTGGTTACTTTTATCTTCCCTTTTGAACGTATATCTAAGGTTGCGTGTTAATTTTGGGTATATTTCTGTAAAGTGTAATCTGCCAGTTAAGGTTTTTTCTTTTTTTTTTTCCAAAAGCAACTCTGCCTTTTTGTTGGTATAAGGGACAGTAAGAACACATACAGAAATTTCTTTAAGCTGGCAGTCCTTGGGGTGAAATTGATTTAAGCAGCAGTTTATTAAGAGACCGGGCATTGGTTTAAAATGAATGTGGGGATATGATTTGACTGAAAGTGATGTTCATTGTTTATGAATTACATAAAATGTGACAATACATATTGTGGCGACATATTTCTGTGCAGCTTTCACATCACCGTGTTCCCTACAGTTCCTTTGAGGCTTTCAGAATTGCATGGTGGATCGGATCTTTATAGCCCGTGTCCGCCAATTTAAAGTATCAGAATAAAATGTGCTTAAATTACTCTAACTTCCATGGCAAGCAATTGAATGATTTGTGACCTGAACTGGAGAAAATCACCTCAAAATACACACTTCAGTGGTTAGACAGAGGGTGAATAACTGCTCCGATTACAAGTGACTGCAATGAAGTAGATGTACTGTTCATTTTTATTTGTGCCTTGGCCAACTATTTACTTGAAGCCACTAGTTAGGGGTGTGTGGAGGTCTGTCTCTCTTTTCAAACACGATTTGACAAAAACGTTCCTATCCAAATTCATTCATACATTTTCTCGATATGAACTTTGTCAGCAGGGACGGGAATCATTCAACTGTATAGTGTCAGTTATCGAAGTGTTTAAAATTTGTGATGTATTCTGTCTATACACAAGCTTACGGTAGATGTCCGTTTTCTGCTTTTCTCGGGACCCAAAGGGGCAAATCATTCGTGCTTTCATGTTTGTTATTGAGGTAACCCATAACAGTATCAATGAGAGTTAACTCCCAAGTTAATCATTCAGTGAAACGTAGATCCAAGTCGGGATGTTGCCATAACACGAGTGTATCAGCAAGAGGTACAAATTGAAGAGTATGCACTTTTTATCATTCAATCCTGAGAAGCCTCCATGACAGTATGACCATGTCAAGTGTACAGCAGTTAGACTTACTGTCAAAATAAGTTTGCAAGAAGAATAGGCATATGTACTTGGCTCCAAAAGAAGCACTTCTCTTGTTAATTAGTCACTGTTCAGTGGGTGCGCCAGTATCTGTACTCCCACCCACCTTCACTATCATAATTTAAACCACAAGTTTAAAGGGCACCTGAATGAAACGTCACACAACTAGGTCTTTTTGCACAGATGTTTTTTTTTTGTTTGATTTTTTTTTTTTTTTGCAAACGGTGAAAGATTTAAAAAAAAGACCCTAAAACTGTCTCATAGATGTTTGATGATATGACTAATTAAACTGCACCATCTCAACACAAAACAATGAACAGAAGAAACATTTTGCACTGAAATTGCCATAGCTACTTTTACTCCACGTGATACCTTGCGAGTTGTTTGCAGCTAATTATGACAATTCAATTCGTGGGAGATGAAAAGAAGTGGCAACAGTTTGACCGAGAAATCTGTACAAATGTAAGAAAAACACAGTGTTGATCTCATCAACTGTGATTGGCAGTTTCAGTTACTCTAAAATCCTGGGTGCATTCCATTTGCCTATCAGCCTGCTTGAGGTAAGTGTTGTCTCATAGCACAGAGGTCGGCTGATCCAAAGATCACATCTAATGTCAGCGTGCAGTCCGATGTGAAGATCTGATCACAGAGCAGAGAGCCTCGACCGCTGGCGGTAATAATCCGCCCTGTCCCTCTTCTATTCACTTGCATGCAGTTCTTTAACTTTTCGGGTTTGACAATTAGCGAAGTGCTAAATCCAATGAGAGGCCATATCATCAATGGGGACATGTCTCAGACACGCTGGATCTGCTCCTGACTAACTGTGGCCATACTGGCGCCCTCTGTGTCAGTAATTAGGCGGCTGATAGCCGGGCGTCGGCTGCAAGTTTGGGGTAAAGGCGGGCTGCTGGCTCAAGTCAGGATAGGCGCTATAGGTGGTGGGGGCGTATGGCGTGGGGTTGTAGGAGGCGGGGGCATAGGTCGGAGGGTAAGGCGTGTGTTCATCGGTAGGCTGCTCGGTATAGGTCGGAACGGCGATGTCATCACCACCGCTACGGAAACGACTGAAGGCGAAGTAGGTCAGAATTCCCTGCAGAATAAAACAAAATGAGAGATTGGGGTCAATATGAGCCTGAGCGGGTTATAATTTGTTCTCAACTTATTTCAACACTCTGAATTGGTTAATCATGTTTAAAAAAAACACAATGATCATTAACATTGAGTGTGAAAAAAGAAAAGTGTTGGGGGTGTGACCATATTTGGATATACTGTAGTGGCTCTCTGCCTGACAGCGACGACAAACGAAAACTACTAACACGGGGTTTCTTGTTTGTGGCTGCTGAGTTTTGGGGTGGAAAAAACAATGTTGCCTTGCTCACCCAGGTAGCGATGGAGAAGAATGAAAAGGCCACTGTTGCACGCGCAGCATCCTGGGGGATTGCGCTGACGTCGTGAGTGCGACCCCATTGGCTGGCTAACAAACAGAAGCACACAAACCACAGAAAAGTCCATGTCCCTAAGGAGAAGAACACACAGATGCAGTCACTCACTGCACGAGAAGATCCAACTACTGATTTGTAAAGACTTCAAAAAAAATCAAGTTTGTTTCAAATGAGTCATGTACTGTCCAGAATCAATACTTATTTAATAACATGACCAAAAAAAAAAAAAAGAATTCAAATACATTGTATTTACAAGAGATGCTGCTCATATTCAGGAGATGCAGATTGCTACAGATGTGATTTGCTGGTCAAAGTTGGCCGCAATATGTTTTGCTCTGACCAAGCAATCAGAGGATGGAAAAATTGTATTGATGGCCAGCTTGCTGGCCCTGTGAGGATGAATTTGAAATCAGATTCTTCAAGCATGTGTCAAACTCGAGGGTTGATTGTTGATTATGCCGTTCTTTTGGCCCTCTCACCAGTGAGGAAAAAAAAAAAGAAGTTTTGAACAAATTTAAGTTGATGTCATAACAGATTGACGTAGTCATGTGGCTTTCTTAACCGGACAAAATAAAAGGATTTATGTTTGTTGTAACAATAGCTCAGCAAGCAAAGATTTTATTTTAAACCCATGAAAACGAATACATTATACAATATTTGTACCTTGAATTTTTACGCATTTTAGGTTATTTAACATTCAGCAGTAGTTGATTTTACAATATATTTGGCTACATTTAGTGACATTCATACAGCCTGAGAGTGGCATGTGGCCCTTTGAGGGCAGGCATTACGCTGATGTGGTCATTGGTTACAAATGAGTTTGACACCCTTGCTTTAAATAAACAGTCATGTTTCTTAAAAAAAAAAAATTGTCGCGGGAGCAAATAGAGGCTGACAAAAAAAAAAAAAAAAATCTGTCATTGACGTACAGACAACGGAAGCAATTCTGCCAAGAGAAACGTTACAGAATGAAAAGGACAGACTCACAAATTGTATCCACCACTGGTAAAAACAGTGGAAGATGCATTCCATGATGCAATTATCGTAAATGGCCACAAGGTTCACAGTTGCACTTCTTTGTTTCCGTAAAGAATGGCTAACAAACACCGTCATGTCCAGCTGATGAATTGAAAGAGAATCTGTGAGGTCATCCTCGCCCTCCATCGTGCTCATTCAGCACCATCTGCTGCTGATAGCAACAATGAATAATACGGGTTTGTAATGCAAGGATAACAGTGACTGGTTTGTCTCGCGTAATGGAACACTAAGGCTCTCTGTATGGGACGTGGTGTCAAGGAAGTAGCAGGCCGGTCGGTAAATCGGCCAAAAGAAATGCTAATTATTGGTTTCCAGCATCTCTCAATGCTGTCACAACTTTTGTATCAAGGCAAAAAGTGGATAACGCCGATATACAGTATAATATTTTTAGTCGTGAGTCTGGATTGGTACTTCAGAACATTAAAAAATATATATATTGCACAATCTGAGACAAACATATCTGAGGGTTTTAACTTCTTGTGTGTCACAGTCTGATGACAAGTGTTCACAGCAAGAACATAGTTGAGGCAAATGCAGTTCAATCAGTATGCACACATTTTTTTCTATATTCATGACAGTGAGCAACCAATTTGAAATCAAATCAACTGCAAAAAAAAAAAAAAGCCATGATAGATGTGACGCTCTCACCTGAGAATCCCAGGTCTGCCATGACAGCGTATTTTCTTTGCTGTGCGTTGCTCACAAAAGGCATGTAAACATCCAAAAGCAGAAAGCCCACACAGGCCAGGAAAGCAATCACGCCGATGCCGACGGCGTAATGACATGCCGAGTCATTTTGGTTGAAGATGCACTTTGGCTCAGCGCTGTAGACCGGGTTAATGTAGCCCTCTGTTGTGATGCAGGCGAAGACCACAATGGCAAAGAGCTGCAGCGAGACAAGGAAACGAGACAAGTTAGAAAATACATTGAAGGAAGTGGCATAAAGATTGATTCTCCACAACCAAACGAGACAAACCTGCCTTAGTTACTACACGGTGCTCGTTTGGAATGTTGACCCAGTGACTACGTTCAATTTCCGTTTGACATTTAACTAAATGTATGACCATATTGGTAAGTCAAACTTTGAAGGGAGCAAAACAAAAATGCACATCGATGCTACAGTTCACATATAATTCATCCATCCATCCATCCATCCATTTTTCGATCCGCTTATCCTCACGAGGGCCGTGGGGGGTGCTGGAGCCTATCCCAGCCGTCTTCGGGCAATAGGCGGCGGACACCCTGAACTGGTTGCCAGCCAATCGCAGGGCCCACGAGAGACGAACAACCATCTGCGCACACACTCACACCTAGGGACAATTTGGAGTGTTTAATCAGCCTGCCATGCATGTTTTTGGAATGTGGGAGGAAACCGGCGTACCCAGAGAAAACCCACACAGGCCCGGGGAGAACATGCAAACTCCACACAGGGAGGCTGGAACTGGAATTGAACCCCGTACCTCTGCACTGTGAGGTTGACACGCTAACCACTGGACCACCAGGCTGCCCTGATATATAATTTAAAGGGAAATATTCTGGATAATTTTGATGATGCCGAAAAGATTGTTGGCAGCAGATAGCACGTTGGTGGTGCATTCATCTTTTTATTTTGACATTGTCTAACTACAGTCCACCGAATTTCATGAGAGGGCCTCGTGCACGGGGCCGTGTGACCGCAGTAAGGCACAGCATAGCACCTAAACCACTCGGCTATTAACTTTCTGTTGAACTGGTTCCTGGGGCCATCCCGTGGTTGGTTGTCATCCACATTCGCAAATCACCTCATCATGTGACCTAGTTCTGAATCTTGCTGCCAGCCTTGTGACTCCAGTGACACCAGCAGTTCCCTCATAATGCTCATAATGAGTTCTGGGAGGAGGACAGAGAGGGGTTTTGGGCTGGTGGGGAGGAGGAGACAAAAGAGTCAAACAATGAGCAGTGGGGTGGGAATACTGTAGGTGGAATGTTAAAAAAAAAAAAAGACTATTCCAGACTATTGAATTGAAACTAATTGCATGTTGAATGACAATTTTTTCACTATTGCGATCAACCATTCAAGAAGTCGAGTGGTACCTTGACTTATGAGTGCCCCAAGTTATGAGTTTTGAGTCATCCACAGGCTCAGTCTATTTTTTTTTTTTTACTTTGTGTTGTGAGCCAAAATTTGTGCATGCGATACCCAACCACACGAGTGACTTGAGGTGAGCTCTGCTGTCTGCTTACGGGATCTGCGT